AAAGAGGTGGGAGCCTGAAGACAACTTATCAAACATCAGAAGGAGACAGTTAGCTTTTTCGCCCATGTCCCATGAAAAGGGCGAAAATGGACATGTTTGTGGACCACTGGAAAGATCTGTGGAAGGAGGGATAAAGGAAGACAACAAGAGAAGATTCTTAACATGTCCTTGTTGCATGGCAATGGAGTGTTGTCAGGCACACGAACTTGATTGCATCCGCTGGCAGATTTGCAGATTGTGGAGAGGCATGATTGCCCCCGCTAGTCGGCAAGGCACGTGATGATGATGATGATGGTGATGTAGTTAACAGTATCGACAAAGCTGCAACCATACATACATATGGAGAAATGCCAAACCTGCTATGAAAAAAAAAATGCTGATAGTATACACAAGATGTGTTACCATATCTCACACACAGTAGGGATACTGATCACTCCTGTCTCAACACCTTGAACTTACAATGTCTGCATTTTACCTGTTTTGGAGAAGCTGGTGTGCTCTCACACATTGCTCAACACAACATACAGATATGTGGACAACATAGAGATGTGTGGACAACATACATACATGTGGACAGCACACAGACATGTGGACACATACAGACATGTGGACAACATACAGACATGTGGACAACAGACATGTGGACACATACAGGCATGTGGACAACATACAGATATGTGGACAACACACAGACATGTGGACAACATACAGACATGTGGACAACATACAGACATTTGGACAACAAACAGACATGTGGACAACAAACAGACATGTGGACACATACAGGCATGTAGACAACATACAGACATGTGGACAGCACACAGGCATGTGGACACATACAGGCATGTGGACAACATACAGACATGTGGACAACATACAGACATGTGGACAACATACAGACATGTGGACAACATACAGACATGTGGACAACATACAGGCATGTGGACACATACAGGCATGTGGACAACATACAGACATGTGGACAACATACAGACATGTGGACAACATACAGACATGTGGACAACATACAGACATGTGGACAACATACAGACATGTGGACAACAATACAGACATGTGGACAACATACAGACATGTGGACAACATACAGACATGTGGACAACATACAGACATGTGGACAACATACAGACATGTGGACAACATACAGACATGTGGACAACATACAGACATGTGGACAACATACAGATATGTGGACAACATACAGACATGTGGACAACATACAGACATGTACACATCATACCAGTGTGGATCCAGTAAAAGCCACCTTGTCGATGTCCATGTGGCTGGCGATGGCTTTTCCAGCCGTATCTCCGTAGCCAGGAACTATGTTTACCACCCCAGGGGGAAATCCTGCCTGTTTAGGAAGCAAAACCATTATTTGGCACTTTATTAATATCCTACCCCAGATGACGTCACAGGACAGTCCAACATTTTAGAGGGTGGTAAGATTGGGTCTCCTGGCTTACTGATGCTTTTAATGACCCCAAAACTTCTAGAACTGGCCCTAGCCCCAACCCACCTACGTCCCACTAGAGAGTTCAGCCTAGGTCCCACGACTGCATGCAACCTAGGTCCCACGACAGCATGCAGCCTATCTACCACCCCCTGAAATTAGGCTGTCCCGTGACCTGTGGATTTCCCCTGTTTTGGGTAAGATTTTAATAAAGCACTCATTATTTTATTCTCTCATGAACAGTCACTGGAGACATATATCTTTGTCTCATTCTCTTCTTTATCTTCTTCTCTGCATTCACCTGCTGTAAACTCCAGCAGAAAGTTCTGGCTGTTCGTCCACTTCTGGACTTTAATCTTGTTCCAGAATTTGTGTTTACAGATCTGGCTTGTCTGTATGCAGACTTTTAGTTTCTTGCTTGTTCTTTGTTTGCATTCCTCCTTAAAATTTCAGTTGGTATGTTGTGTTTGCATAAATATATTGGCCTCTTTTGGCCAAACACATCCGATTTCAGCCAAATCCCAATTAATCACCTTTTATAACATGTTTGTTGGAAGCAGTTGGTTTTTTTGCACCCCCCCCCCCCTCCCACACACACACACTCAACTGCAGCCCCAGAACCCACACATGGATTTTTTGGGTAATTCTATATTTAGTCAGCGTCTTAGGTGTTGCATATTTGCTTTATGGTGCTGGCTGTGATCCCAGAAACGATAGCCCAGTTATGTATTCCAATAAATATATCAATAATACACAATGTTTAGTGGTTGAGAAAGACTGGTAACCCAAGCCTGTTTCCTGGAGCAGAAGCAGGGGTGGACCAGTATGAAGGGGGGGACAAAAGATTATGGAGACACACTGCAGATGAGAATATCTGAGGTTGGGAAAGGCTTGGGGATGGGGTGTGGGGGAGGGGGATTAGGGACAGAGAGGTTTTCCCCACATGCCATAAAAGAAGTGGTTTTCTGGGCAGAACTTGCAACATGACGATGATGATGAACAGACACTATATGACTCTCTTGCCTCTTTGAACAGCTGACCACAGTGAAGAGCCGACAGCGGGGTCACCTCCGAGGGTTTGAGGATGATGATGATGATGATGATGATGATGATGATGATGACGATGATGATGAACAGACACTGGCTAACTGACTTGCCTCTTTGAACAGCTGACCACAGTGAAGAGCCGACAGCGGGGTCACCTCCGAGGGTTTGAGGACCACAGTGTTGCCACATGCAAGAGCAGGGGCCAACTTCCAGGACAGCATCACGATGGGGTAGTTCCACTGTAAGTTACTGACATGTGTTACATAGAATTCTTATACGGGGTGTTTGCAAAGTCTCACTACCCTTTGTATACAGAAAAAATCTCTGAACAGAAATACATGTCATTTTTTTTTTTAAATGTGCTCCATAGACCACTGTGAAGTAATGTGTGGTGAATGGCTACTGTCTGGTGGAGTAATTCTGTACATTCAAAACAGAATGATGTTATCAACAGAAAGAAAGAACGTTTTTTGTTGTTGTTTTTTTTTTTGTTTTTTTTTTTTTTGTTGAACAAGTATTTTCAGATGGCAGTCGATATCACGTATGGCTGTTTAAAAATTTAGAGCAAGACTTCCTGATAAACAACTTTCTCATCACATTATGGTTAGAAATCTGTTGAATACAAAAATAATTGGCACACAATTGAGGACCTGAAAGAAGCAATCTGAATTACCAGTCAAGAATAACAACAGACATGTTGCAGAAGGTATTTGACAATATGAAGAGTCATGTCGAGAAACCTATGGTGGACATTTCAATACATGTTATAATAAATATTTCACTGCTACTTCTGACTCCCCCCAAAACAGCATTAGACCATAGCAATAACTAATTAAACAGCATTAAAAGTCTTTGGTTCAGCCCCATCAAGGAGATCAAAATAAGAAATTTTGAGAGCATGCATTTTACCAGTAGCAACATACGGATGTGAATTGTGGACTATCTTCCAGTCTTTAAGAAAGAGAATAGGGGCTTTTGAGCTAAAATGCTATAGAAAAATTCTCAGAATATCTTGGACAAAGAAGAGGAGAAATACTGACATCTTGAAAGATCTGAATATCTAGGAAGATTGGCTAATAAACAACATCCTGTCTCGAAAGCTGAAATATTTTGGTCACATCAAGCGCCATGACGGATTGAAAAAAAAAAATAAAGCATAAGGCATGGTACCAGGAAGGAGGGACAAGGGCCGACCGACAAGAAGATGGGCACAGGATATAAGTGACTTCTTGAGTGTGAAAGTACATGAGGTGGGAGAGCTGGCGAGAGATCAAGTTTATTTCAGGCAGAATGTGATGAGAGATGTTCTGCAAAGGACCTGCTACATGATGATGATGAATAACTAATTTAGGGACATTTTAGCACATTTTTTTGATCAAGTCATTACTTGGTTTTTCAAATTTTTTATGCATACAAATATAGTGAGACTTTACAAACACCTTCTATTTAATTTGTATATTAACCATCTGACTATACTATCAACCCTCATAAACTACAAACATTATCGCATATTACTGATTACAAACATTTTCTCATACTTTTAACTAAAAATATATCTGAGTAAAATACAAAGATCTAATTATATTATCCCCATCGACGACAGTGTGGGCATTCCAAATAAATCCTTTACAAAACAATTTTTCCCAGGTCACTAATAATTTGTTTTTATTTTATTTATGTACACTTTAAATTTTTTTTTCTTTAAATAATTTAAGATATTTAAAGTGAGTAACAGTAAACACAACCAGAGTGAAACATTAAATGGAATATATTCCCTGGGGTCAAAGAAATGTGCTCAGGGTAACTCATGTAGTGATTCAGTGACCTATATCACTAAGGCTACAGAAAATTAATGAAATCAACTTGGCTTTAAAAGGCAATTTGGTTCACAAGGAAACCCCTAAATGCTATTTTTAGTAACTTTATTCAAACCCTGACCTCCTAAACAATTCACAGATGTGATCTCAGCCAACTATGCGTCTTGTAAATAAGTCACTACAGACAAGTCAGGAAAAGTGACATTTACAGGGAAAACAAAATGACTGTCAAATGTCTAAAATATTTTAATTAATCAAGTAACAGAAAGTATTGTGAACGGCACTCATAGAAAGAAGTAGAAAGATAGAAGAACACACTAGACAACATAAAAATCGAAAGCTATAGTTACCGTGCCGGGAATTGAACCTGTCACCTCCAGATGGCGTCTGCGCCTCGCCATGAATACAAGTGCACTAAGATACATGGTCAACTCGGCACCCCCAAAAAAGGTGTCTCATTGGCCATGTCTATCGTACAGCTTAAAATCCACGACTATGGAATACGGACAGAAATATTTTTTTTGAGACTGGTGAAACCTAGCACTTACCGGTATAATCTGACCACAGACACCCACAGGCTCATGTCGAGTGTAGGTGAAATAATTCCCGTCTGTGGAAGCAAATGTTGGTTGTACAGTTTTACAGTGTAACATACATAGGCAGTTTACTTAACAAGACTTCCGGTCAAAATGGACGTTAGGCAGCGGCACTGTTCGAAACAGAGGCAAATTTTTTGCTTCTGCCGGACGGTGGCCGATGCATTTTTGCTCCATTTGTAGACTGGATATAGTTTCGTCGCCCAGCTTCTGAGTTGAATGCATGGCGTGACCCTGTGAGCTGCGGATTGCATTTGGAATGTTTTTTTGACTGTGACCAACGTGTTAAAAATGTAGATTCAGAAAATGGCGCGATGCCTGTCGTGCAGTGTTGTGGTGCCCGTATGTGATTAAAATTGATCGCGTGGGCAACTGCTGATCTGTTGGCGACTTCTGCTACTATCAATGATGAACTGCAATTCTAATACTGTGATAAACATTCTGTGTGTTTTTCGTTGGCACAGGAACGGAGCAAAGATGGGGTGACCCGTTTGCTATGAAGCTGAAACTAAGACTACCAGAGTCAACAAGAAAGAAAACAAACTAACATACACCCATCACAAGATTTTTCTAGTTATCTCTCATTTGGGCATGTCATCAAGCCTCTTACACCAAATTACTGGGTAGATTTCTTCTTCTTCTTCTCTGTTCACCGGCTGTAAGCTCTGGAGGAAAGCTCTAGTTGTTTGTCCATTTGGACTCTGGCTTTGTGCCAAGGCCTGAGTTTTACGTGTACATCCCTTTCCTGGCTTATTTATGTGCAGTTGGTTGATCCTTGCCGCTCAGGAAGATGCACTCCGACTTCAAAGGCTGCCACCAATTAGTCGACTCCTATGATGCGTATTGGGGAGGCAGTGGGTCTATTCTTGTTTTCCCCAAAATGGGGCCCTGGAACCCACACAGGGAGTGCAGACTTGTCAGGACTGGGTTATGGTTACAGCAGAGACATCTTAACAGCATTATAGACCTTTGGGCAAACCAGTGTGCTGAAGCCCCTATGACAACCACTGACAGGTATGGAAATTATTAAACAAATACACAGATTAGCATGGGGTTCCCGGATAAATGCGTAGCGAGACCATACGTTAAGAGAGCATTGGGTTACAGCACTATATATACTCAGTAAGTTTCAAGGCATGGGAAAATGATTTGCTGCTTGATATTTTACTAACAAATCTTAGCCACCCCAGGGAATCTGAGCCTGGTCACAGAGGCCACATGACCAGACATAGTCTGGAAAAGATCAAAGAGCAGCTCTACATTCTTCTTCTGCCTTTCTAGCCCCCAATGGAGCATAGGCCCTCAACCAACTCACGCCAAGTTGTTCTATCTTTTGCTATCACATACAGCTATACCCATGTCCTTCCCATCTTTCTAACTTCATACTTCATTCTCCAGCTCCCTTCTCATGTGTTTGTTTTTTTGGGCCTTTCCTTATTCCTATGCCCCTGTGGGTCCCAGTGCAAAGACTTTCTAGTTATATTGTTGTCCGGTTTTCTTAATGTGTACATAAAGCCACTAATTCACATTCTGGTTTACACTGTACACACTGGCATACTTCTCTGTAAACAGAAACATTAAGTCTCCTTCTTTCTTCTTTTGTCCTATGGCTTATACAAAAGTATCGCAGAGAGGAGTTATGTGTAGTTTCCTGTATTTTGTCCTACGGCTTATGCAAAGCATAACAAAGCACTGTTCACTCGTTTCTTTGGGAATGAGTAAACAGTGTGGAGGCACAGAGAGATCATTACGGTCTAAAGAGAATGGCGTTGTGAAGAGTTACCAGGGATCTTGCCGGCGCTCAACACTCAGGGGAAAGATGAGACGGATATACAATCAGATGGTTACTGGTACCATCGGAATTGAAACTCTTCACTTGCTGCTGAAGAAGGGGTCAGAACACTTATGGAAGTGTTCCGAGTGCTGTGATGTTGATTCTTAATTTAACATTTATGTAAAGCTTTCGCAGAGAGGAGATATGTGTAGTTTCCTTTCTGTTGCCAGTTGTGTAGTTTGTGTTAATTTATGTCATATAGCATTCATGTAGTGTCTCTTTTTCTCCCTCCACCCATCTTTTTCCTGGTCTGCATCTTGCCTTGTAGCCTGCTGTTCTCATGTAGTAGGCTCTAGCTGCTGACTGATTTTGTTCCATTTTGACCAGATGACCAAACCATTTCATTCTTCAATGCTCTATGAAATCATTCAAGCTTTAAGTATTGTCTTGAAGACCCTATCAATTCTTTCCCTTGAAGAAAGGAAGGAAATCTCTGCCACACAGTCTCAAAAAAGAGTCTACTTCCGTGCTCTATACCAACCTCACCCAGATAGATTTAAGCCTATTTGAGGACACAGTTGAACTGGATGTTAATGCACCAGACATAAAGGTGAGAGCTCAGTCTTCTGGCCAGTCAACCAACACATTCTTCTGTTAAATCAGATTTTTGTGTCTTTATCACTTGTTCTTCCAGGAAGAGAGCTATTAATCAAATTAACAGGTCAATAGAAAGATAGAGAAACCCAACAGAAAATAATAAGAGTAAAGCAAAAACAAAATGTAGGTTAGTTGTGTATCCTTTACAGGACGTTGCAGAACCGATCCTAGCATTTGTTGGCTCTTGTGGTTTTTCTAGGCACATTTTATATTTGGTTGTTTGCCACTGCAACTTCTCGAAACCAATGCAAGACAAACCGTCCATAGCTGGGAAGAACCCGGCACCCCGGCATTTGCAAGCCCGTTTGCAACGCCTAAGCGACAGAGAAGACAGTCAGAGGCAGAGATGAGTAATACAGGAAGTACAAGATCTCAGCTAATAATGGGAGCAAAAGATAAGAGGACTTGGCTGCAGCTGACTGTCTGACTATTGAGACTGGATAGATAGACTATTTACCATTGAGGGATAAAGGTCATAATGAGACTGGATAGATGGACTATTTACCATCAAGGGATAAAGGTCATAATGAGACTGGATAGATGGACTATTTACCATTGAGGGATAAAGGTCATAATGAGACTGGATAGATGGACTATTTACCATTGAGGGATAAAGGTCATAATGAGACTGGATAGATAGACTATTTACCATCAAGGGATAAAGGTCATAATGAGACTGGATAGATAGACTATTTACCATCAAGGGATAAGGTCATAATGAGACTGGATAGATAGACTATTTACCATCAAGGGATAAAGGTCATAATGAGACTGGATAGATAGACTATTTACCATCAAGGGATAGAGGTAATAAGGAGACTGGATATGCTTAAATGTGAAAATTCTTCTTCTTCTTATTCGTGTTCACCAGCTGTAAACTCTGGCGGAAAGTTCTGGTTGTTCATCCACTTTTGGACTGCAGTCCTGTTCCAGAACCTGTGTGTTGCGTGTGCATCCGTTTTACAGATCTAACTCATTTGTATGCAGACTTCTGGTTCCTTGCCTTTCAGAGAAATGCACTGTGACTTCAAAGGAACCTCCCAATTATTCGACTCTTATGACATGCTTTTGGGTAGGCAGTGGGTCTATCCTTTTTTCTCTCTATAATAGGGCCCCGGAACCAACACTGGAACCTGTAGGAGATACCTCAGGACACAAAGAGATGAGTTTTACCTGTAGAAAATAAGTCTGGACACAAACAGATGAGTTTTGCCTGTAGGAGACAACGAAAAATCAATAACTAAGACTCAGATTTAAACATGTCTCCACTTGCTATAGGTCTAACTACTGAACTGGAACATACCCACTGGGATAGTCTTGCCACAGATCTTGTCCGTCCATCCGGCAAAATACTGGAAGATGCTGATGGTAGCGCCCACATCCTCTCTGGCATCGCTCAATGGCTTCCCGTTGTCCAAGCTGTCCAGCACCTGCAGAGAGAAGCAGAGTCTGACACTCCATGGAAAACTGTCACTGCAGCACTCAGCCTCGTCCTCCACCTCCTCCTTTTTCTTCTTCTTTTTCTTCTTCTTCACCAAATGTAAACTCTAGCAAACAGTCCAGGTTGTTCATCCACTTCTGGACTTTCATCTTATTCCAGTACTTGAATTTTGTGTGCACATCTATTTTTTAGATCTGGCTTAGTTGTGCGCAGACTGTTGGTTTCTTGCCTCTTAGGCAGATGAACTCCAGCTCTGAAGGTAAAGTCAACCCTTGTATCTATGTTGGCAGGGCTACAGGAAGGGAACCTGACTCTAGGATGACCATGGAGAGGTGTAGGCAGGTGTTGACCAGTATAAGCGAGGGTACTGAGGCACTAGCACGGGTGGTTCAGCTACTCGGCCACCCATCCTGCAGGACAATTGAAATGCTTCCATCTGGTCTACCACATGTTGGAAGTGGGTTATCATGTATCATATACATACACATACATGCATGCACACACTCACCCACATATACATACTCACACATGCATTGCCTGTGATTGTGGAGCAGAAAGACAGACCCCTGAGCACATACTGCAGTACTGCCCTTACCTCTACCAGCAAAGACTGTGGATCTGGCCCAGGGGATCCACATTGCGAGAGAAGCTATGGGGGACCGGTGGTGACCTTAAACGCACAATCCTATTTTTGACCCAGACGGGACTCAATGTGTAGCATGACTGATGTCGAACGCAGAAGAAGAAGAAAAAGAACATGTATTTTCACACACAAAACGAGTCAGCCAATATATTTCTCTACAAACAACTTTCCTCTGGGTCGCTGTCATGTCAGACAGCTGACTGACAGTTGCGCCATTCTGCCAACCCATACAGCATTTCTTTCTCTGTCACTACCTTCTCCAGCCATTCTTGTCTTATAATGTGCGGTCTGGGTGGGTATACACAACATGTATGATGAAAAGACAGTAAAAGAAGAATGTCAGGCATTCAATTCAACTACTTCTAGCATGATGGTGGTGACAACAGCTGTCGCCTGTGTACTTGCATCGCTGGCAGAGCAGAAAGCAACTCATCCATTGACAGTGACAAATTCGGCTACCATGCTTACAAAGTATCAAACTGTCAACTCCGACCAAAATAGGCTGACAGCATCCAGAAAGTCCACCTCAAGAAATTATCTTGACTCTTTACACTGGAAAATGTGAGGGAGAACAGAAAAGAAAGAGCCCGATATACTGGCCGTGTCTACAGTGGCTGGCGGAGGAAGAAGTATGGACAGGGCAGACATACTGAATACATTAGGACAAAAGAGTCAGAGACGATGATCTAACATCGTCATCATGTGCCCTGCTAACTTGCGTAGGTGCTCATGCGTCTCCACAGATGAAATCCCTGGTTGCCTGGAACAATCTTGATGTTATCCCTCAATGCCATCGTTTCAGCCCATCCAGCATCATCTCTCTTGGTCTGCCTCTACCCCTTTTTCCACTGATCTTTCCAGTTGGCACGATGTTCTCCGATGTCTCTCTTCTTATTATGTGGCCAAAGAACAGTGTTTGTCTCTTTCTTATTGTTGTATAAAGAGATATACTTTAATTAGCTTTTTTTTTCAAAGCAATCGTTGTTGGTTACTTTAGCTGTCCAAGGTATTCATACAATTTGTCTCAGAAACCACATCTCTGTTGCTTCCAAATTCTTCTTAATTTGTTCAGTGACATTCCAAGATTCACTGCCATACAGCAAAACAGGTTCTATGTAACATTTTAGCAACCTTTTTTGACGCAGATAAATGTAATAAAATATTTGGTATTTATATGATATGTATGAATAATACATGTTCCAGCCATATGATATCGACTCGTTAATTAAATGTTAATAATAATTGATCAATCGTGTCTACAGATGCCAAGAAAGGACGCACAAAGTCTGCTGGCGGTGATCCTTGTGCTGGCATCAACAGCGACAGACATCCAAGGTATTCGTAACATTCGTCTCAGAAACTACATCTCTGTTGCTTCCAAATTCTTCCTAATCTGATAACTGCCCGCTGGAAATGGGCGTTAAATAAAGACAAGCATGCACAAACGGGCGTTAAATAAAGACAAGCATGCACAAACGGGCGTTAAATAAAGACAAGCATGCACAAACGGGCGTTAAATAAAGACAAGCATGCACAAACGGGCGTTAAATAAAGACAAGCATGCACAAACGGGCGTTAAATAAAGACAAGCATGCACAAACGGGTTGGCTGGCAAAGACAGAAGATGTGCCAATCAACTCCTGCTGGGTATGCTGAGCATAGAGACACTAAGATGGCTGCTGCATTAAAGGCTGGAACAAGAATGGGTCAGACCGATATGATAGACCAGTGGTTCTCAAATTTTTTGCCGTGGCACCCTTGTCAGGCCAACAAAAAATTCACGGCGCACCTACTCCTAAAGTGATTTGAATACTTAGGAAAAGAAGAAAAACAGTGCACATTTAATGTTCCCTTGTCTTTAACCAATTGAATGAAACTGTTTTGATGAATTTTTTATTATTTCCTTTACGTATATGGGAAGTTTTCAAATATTTTGGTCATATCAAGCGCCACGACGGATTGGAAAAAACTATAGCAGAAGGCATGGTACCAGGAAGGAGGGGGAGGGGCCGACCAACACAAAGATGGATACAGGATATAAGTGACTCCTTGAGTATGAAAGTACATGAGGCAGGAGAGCTGGCGAGAGATGGAGTTTCTTTCAAGCAGACTGTGATAAGAGTGACGTTCTGCAAAGGACCTGCTACATGATGATGATGATGATGATATGGGAAGGTTAGTTAATTTTACCCTCAAATCACTTGACCCAGAAAGTTTGGTCCTGTACCTGTTTTTCATGTAAGCGTTCATTGAGAACGCACTGCAGCCTTGCCAACAGCACTGTCTTCTCAAACGCATGCATCCAGAACTCTTCTTGGCTTCCTTCAAGTTGTCTCTGTTTTAAACAGCTGTCTTTCGCTGATCTCAAGCAGATTTAGAAAAATTCTTGATTACTGCCGCGGTGCCCCTGGTATATGCTCGCGAGCACCCAGTTTGAGAACCTCTGTGCTAGACTGTCAATATGGGTAACAAGTAACTTGACTAAAAGATGACAGACTTGCCTTGAGGTGGGTGATTTAACCTCTTGGACAATGCATAAGTCAAATGTAACAAGACAACCACCTGGCAGCTGATCATATGTGTGGCTTGTCATCAATGTTGGACATCTCACATATTGATCAACAGAAACACACCAGGATCTTCAGACTCAGAACAGAACAGTGTTACAGAGACCGGGAGCCTGCAACTCTAACATGCTACCACTTACTGCCAGATGTTCCGCATCCCGCTCCAGGAGAGAGGCAAACTTCTCCAGCAATCGTCCTCTCTTGGAGGCATCCAGCTGTCGCCATGGTGACCCCAGCTTGAAAGCTTCTCTGGCTGCGGCCACTGCCAGATCAATGTCTTCCTGTAGGAGAGAATAGGTCCTACTGAATAGGGAATAGTGTGTACATCCAGTCTTGCTTCATGAGGGATAATGTGTACATTTACTACTTTGTGTGGAATAATGTGTACATCTAGTGCTACTTTGTGGAAAATAATGTGTACATATAGCGCTACTTTGTGGGGAATAATGTGTACATCCAGCTGTACTTAATGTAGAATAATATGTACATCTAATCGTACTTAATGTGGAATGTGGAATAATGCGTACATCTAGTTGTACTTAATAAGGAATAATGTGTACATCTAATCGTACTTAACGCGGAATGTGGAATAATGCGTACATCTAGTTGTACTCAATGTAGAATAATATGTACATCTAATCATATTTAATGTGGAATGGGGAATAATGAGTACATCTAGTTGTGCTTAATGTAGAATAATGTGTACATCTAGCTGTACTTAATGTAAAATAATAAGTATATCTAATCATACTTAATGTGGAATGGGGAATAATGTGTACATCTTGCTGTACTTAATGTAGAATAATAAGTACATCTAATCATACTTAATGTGGAATGGGGAATAATGTGTACATCTTGCTGTACTTAATGTAGAATAATAAGTACATCTAATCATACTTAATGTGGAATGGGGAATAATGTGTACATCTAGCTGTACTTAATGTGGAATAATGTGTACATCTAGTTGTACTTAATGTGGAATAATGTGTACATCTAGTTGTACTTAATATAAAATAATGTGTACATCTAATCGTACTTAATGTGGAATGTGGAACAATGTGTATATATAGCTGTACTTAATGTAGAATAATATATACATCTAATCATACTTCAGCTTGCTTTGAAGTCGGAGTGTATCTGCCCGAGTGGCAAGGAACAACTAACTGCACACAAATAAGCCAGTAAAACTAATGTAGATGCAGAACTCAGACCCTAGCACAAAGCAAAAGTGGACAAACAACCACGACTTTCCCCTGGCGCACAAAGAAGACGACGATATTCTGAGTGACATATTTATTTTTATTTACGATTTTTAGAGCATGAAAATGAATGTGTAGGAAACCTCTCAAAGCCTGACATTTGTTTACAAGTTGGAAAATCTACAGTTGGTGGAAAAGACTAAGACAGTGTCTAGGCATAAGACCAACCTTTTCTCCAGCTTGTATTTCACAGATCAGCTCCTCTGTTGTGGGATTGATGACCGGGATGGTTCTTCTGTAGACTGCATCCACAAACTCATTGTTGATGAAGAGCTAAAACAGAGAACAGTAAGCCTGTGGATCTGTGTGCTAGGTTTAGTCTATCCGTTAGATCTGTGCGCTAGGTTCAGTTACAGTCTATCCGTTAGATCTGTGTGCTAGGTTCAGTCTATCACTTAGATCAGTGTGCTAGATTCGGTTTAGTCTTTCACTTAGATCTGTGTGCTAGATTTAGTCTTTCACTTAGATCTGTGTGCTAGGTTCGGTTTAGTCTTTCACTTAGATCTGTGTGCTAGATTTAGTCTTTCACTTAGATCTGTGTGCTACGTTCGGTTTAGTCTTTCACTTAAATCTGTGTGCTAGGTTCGGTTTAGTCTTTCACTTAGATCTGTGTGCTAGGTTCAGTCTATCACTTAGATATGTGTGCTAGGTTTAGTCTTTCACTTAGATCTGTGTGCTAGGTTCATTTCAGTCTATCACTTAGATCTGTGTGCTAGGTTCAGTCTATCACTTAGATCTGTGTCCTAGGTTCAGTCTACCACTTATATCTGTGTGCTAGGTTTAGTCTTTCACTTAGATCTGTGTGCTAGGTTCATTTCAGTCTATCACTTAGATCTGTGTGCTAGGTTCAGTCTATCACTTATATCTGTGTGCTAGGTTTAGTCTTTCACTTAGATCTGTGTGCTAGGTTTAGTCTTTCACTTAGATCTGTGTGCTAGGTTCAGTTCAGTCTATCACTTAGATCTGTGTGCTAGGTTCAGTCTATCACTTATATCTGTGTGCTAGGTTTAGTCTTTCACTTAGATCTGTGTGCTAGGTTTAGTCTATCACTTAGATCTGTGTGCTAGGTTTAGTCTTTCACTTAGATCTGTCTGCTAGGTTCGGTTTAGTCTTTTACTTAGATCTGTGTGCTAGGTTCAGTTCAGTTTATCACTTAGATCTGTGTGCTAGGTTCAGTCTATCACTTAGATCTGTGTGCTAGGTTCAGTCTATCACTTAGATATGTGTGCTAGGTTCAGTCTTTCACTTAGATCTGTGTGCTAGATTCAGTTCAGTCTATCAATTAGATATGTGTGCTAGGTTCAGCCTATCACTTAGGTCTGTGTGCTAGGTTCAGTCTTTCACTTAGATCTGTGTGCTAGGTTCAGTCTATCACTTAGATCTGTGTGCTAGGTTTAGTCTATCACTTAGATCTGTGTGCTAGGTTCAGTCTATCACTTAGATCTGTGTGCTAGGTTCAGTTCAGTCTATCACTTAGATCTGTGTGCTAGGTTTAGTCTTTCACTTAGATCTGTGTGCTAGGCTTAGTCTTTCACTTAGATCTGTGTGCTAGGTTCAGTTTAGTCTATCACTTAGATCTGTGTGCTAGGTTCAGTCTTTCACTTAGATCTGTGTGCTAGGTTCAGACTATCACTTAGATCTGTGTGCTAGGTTTAGTCTTTCACTTAGATCTGTGTGCTAGGTTCAGTCTATCACTTAGATCTGTGTGCTGGGTTCAGTTCAGTCTATCACTTAGATCTGTGTGCTAGGTTTAGTCTTTCACTTAGATCTGTGTGCTAGGCTTAGTCTTTTACTTAGATCTGTGTGCTAGGTTAAGTTCAGTCTATATCTTAGATCTGTGTGCTAGGTTCAGTCTATCACTTAGATCTGTGTGCTAGGTTCGGTTTAGTCTTTCACTTAGATATATGTGCTAGGTTTAGTCTTTCACTTAGATATGTGTGCTAGGTTCGGTTTAGTCTTTCACTTAGATCTGTGTGCTAGGTTCAGTTCAATCTATCACTTAGATCTGTGTGCTAGGTTTAGTCTATCACTTAGATCTGTGTGCTAGGTTCAGTTCAGTCTATCACTTAGATCTGTGTGCTAGGTTCGGTTTAGTCTTTCACTTAGATCTGTGTGCTAGGTTTAGTCTTTTCCTTAGATCTGTGTGCTAGGTTCAGTTCAGTCTATCAATTAGATCTGTGTGCTAGGTTCATTTCAGTCTATCACTTAGATCTGTGTGCTAGGTTCAGTTTTAGTCTATCACTTAGATATGTGTGCTAGGTTCAGTACAGACTATCACTTAGATCTGTGTGCTAGGTTTAGTATATCTATTAAATCTGTGTGCTAGGTTTAGTCTATCACTTAGATCTGCGTGCTAGGTTCAGTTCAGTCTATCACTTAGATATGTGTGCTAGACTCAGTCTATCTGTTAAATATGCGTGCTCATGCAAGAACGTATGTACACTTATATTCTTCACACACACTAAAACATACACAAATTGAATGGCTTTTGATCAAAGACACCAGAGAGCTGGGTGGACCAGAGAGCTGCGTGGGCCAGAGAGGCTGGGTAGAGTAGAGTACTGGATGGACCATAGAGCTGGGCAGACTACAGAGCTGAGCTGCGTGGACCAGAGTGCTGGGTGGACCAGAGCTGAGCTGCGTGGACCAGAGAGCTGGGTGGACCAGAGCTGGGTGGACCAGAGACCCTATATTGTGTGCTTTGTGAGTTTGTTTGGGAAGTATGAGTTTGAGATAACGTCTGCAGCAATCAGCGTACAACCCACAGTTGTTATTTCCCTGTATTCAAATATACTAACACATAAGCATAGACTCTCACATACAGAAGATATATGTCCATATGTGCATCTACAAACATGCTTAACCATTTGATAACAAACGGAAACCCATGTTCACACACACACACACACACACACACACATATATATATATAAATATATATATATATATATATATATATATATATATATATATATATATATATATATATATATATATATATATATATATATATATATATATACCACTTTTCATGTGCACCTACTATATGTGCACAAAAGGACACATACAACCTCATATACAAAGACATGATCAATCGATCCGATCATTTTGAGAAGAAAAAAAAATTAATCACACTTAACCAGCATCCCTAACGGGGAAGCTTTTGGTTATAATTGTGACTTGGGTTATTTGTGCCACTTAAAATGGCTTAACACTGCTCGCCACCAAGTAGCCCTGAAAAGGACTCTGACAGTGTTGATGGGATCAACAGAGACAGACCCAAATACTGTCCTGACCAATGATGAGTTCATCTACTAGTCAGCCAATGGGCAACCTGGTCTTCGATGACACAGACATGTTCTTATGCAAGTATATTTAATATACCTCCCCTCCACACCCCAAAAAAAATGTGTGTATATATATATATATATATATATATATATATATATATATATATATATATATATATATATATACTGCTATATAGGTGCGTTTCTCCTTGCAATAACGGTCGCTACTTGGACGGGGATATATCGGATTCATCCCCTGCTGCAGTGCAATACGGAGTGGACAAGGCACGAATCACAAAACATAGTGATTCAACATGGCGTATGCTGCAACTACTTAGGTAACCCTGCCCTAACCCAAACCCTTAATGGTCATTTGTGTCGTTCCATCTTTTCCACTCCGTAATTCTATCGCTTGTGTGGTCGACCTCCAGCTCTGCTTCAGTTATGTCTAAGAGACAGGGCTCTCTGTGGGTCACTATCTGGTATAGTCTTAACTCATTCCCTCACCCCCGTGTGGGTTCATTGTTTACCCACTGCCTCCCAAAAGCATGTCGTAAGAGTCAACTAATTGGGGAGCAGCTTCCTTTGAAGTCGGAGTGCATCTGCCTGAGAGGCAAGGAACCAACAGTCAGTGCTAGAATGAGCACACGCAATATCAACCATTTCCGCCAGAGTGCAGCTCACAAAACCTCTCATTCATTACATATATAGTTATTATTCCATTGCTCACTTTCACTGGATGGCCATAGGACTGGTCATAGTGTCAGCGTCATATGTGATATACGTACAACATTTATGGATTTGATTCCTAGGAATAATAAATTGGGCTATCCTCCGTCTAACGGTCAGAAAAGACGGCGTCCGCAAAATATCCTTTTGAGCCAGTCACATGACTTAATTGCGCATGCTGCGGCTCGTGGGTCCTAGCCATCTAGTTTAGCCCCAATCCATTCGTTAAGCGGCGTGGGGGACATGTGGCAGTGGCGGTAGTCGCCGGAAAGCCGCTGAAGAACCGCAAATCAAGTCGCGTGACTGTGGCTCGAAAGGATATTTTGCGGCCGCCATCTTTGCCGACCGTTAGTCGGAGGATAGCCATAAATTGCTTGACCTTGCCACGCAGGTCTATGGGGATGTTTATGTGCAACAAGTTTTTAATCGTCATATGTATTTTATAATTTACAAGATTTATATAGTCAGTTAATGGTGTGTGTGGGTGTGTGTTTTTTTTGTTTTTTTTTTTCACATTTCCCAAACTCCAGCAAATAGTGCTGTACATTTGTGTATTTCTGGTATAGATTACACTTCTCTTCCCGTATAGCAATGCAGCAAGCTACAACTTGTCCCCTATTCAACAGGTTTGCATCATTTTTCTTCTCTCTGTTGTCTCCGTCGGTAGCGAAATCGCTTGGTAAATAAATCACAGGTGCCCGGTTCGATCCCAGCTTCGGGCGATTAAGTTTGCAATGGCAAACCACTGAATTTTAAAAAATGCTTACACAGCAAAGAATTGCTCTGTTTGTTCTGCAACGCCCTCTAAAGGATATGTAACAAATTCAACTTTTGTCTCCAATTCCAAAAAACAATCTCAGTGATTCCCGGTTCCCCACGGGCCACCGGCTACTTTGATTTTACCCTAACCTCCCCTCGTGTCTATAAACAACATGCTAACTGCAACTAAACATACCTGGGTGTGAGAAATCTTTACTTTCGAAACATCTAGAGCCTCCATGGTGTGGAGAGAAGTTGACGTCAGAAGAAAATGCAAGCTCGTCTCTCTAAAATCGACAGACAGATCGGTCGATGTGAGAAACTTCAAAGTTCAAGATCTAGCACCCGTCAGCAGCAGACGCCAGCATGTGACATGCAGTGTTGCCACTTTTCTTTGCAAAAAAGATCCCCGGTTTGGCGGGGGAAAAAAGCTAAAAATATCTAAATTTGCGTTTTTTTTTTTTTTTTAAAATATCGAAAAGAGTCACAAATTACAAAACTATTGAAATGACACCCTATAGACACATCAACATCTTCACTGATGTCTGCTCACAAGATGGATAAAAGCTTGGATGATGAAGTTGAAGCTTCAGATCCCAAATTACTCTGGTATGCTTTAGCGTTCCTATTTCTTTTAGGCACAATCAGGCAGCTGATAAGTGGAACAGCATTTTCCCATACTCTCATCAGGCCAAACTTTATTGTCAAGATAGCATTTAAGAGGTCTAATTTCATCCTGTTTCTTAGGTTAGATTTGATGTACATAGCACTGAAAACTCTTTCTACGTCAGCATTTGAGTGGGGTAGTACCATGGCAGACATGCACATTCAAAGAGTTTACATAATGGACTGTTTGATATGTGCTTCCGCGACACTATTGTCAGTAGCCCCTAAAAATTTCATAACTTTACAATATTTAGGTATGTCCTTTACTGGCTGAAGTATGTTGCTCACAGAAAAAGATTGAAATATGTTTCAATACATCTAGATTTTCAGGAAGTCTCTGCTTTAGTTGCTTGAACAATGAGATAATGAAAACTTGACAGCGTTTTCTTAAGTTTTTCTCTTCATTCTCTGTTAACAGTCCTTTTGTTTTTAAATGACACAGATTCATTTGATATCCAAGGTATGGCTTAGGACCAAATAGCTCTCTATAGTGCAAGTGAGCAAATCAACTTTTGAAGTTGGCAACATAAGTCTTTTGCTGAGTCCCATTCGTGAGATCGTCAAAATTTAACTTTATCAACATGTTTGGATTCGAACAGTTTCCACTTCCATTAGAATAGGTTGTAAAAAGAGAAGGAATGCCAATTTTTTTTCAGCATTCCATATAGTATTCAGCTGTGTAGCACTTTTTCACTTTGTCTTGTTATTTCAAAGTGTGTCTTTAACTCCAACCATTGGTTCACAATTCTTTCAACAGCTGGTTGTATTGATAACCACCTGGTTTTGCAATCTGACAGAATTTTCAGTGGTGTGGAACCATTATTTAAGGCTGAATACAATGCATTGTATTGCTGTTGTCTGACATATGATTTTGAAAACCAGTTATGTGTTTCAGCAATAAGGTATTCCAAATTCACTTTGTCTTGTTATTTCAAAGTGTGTCTTTAACTCCAACCATTGGTTCACAATTCTTTCAACAGCTGGTTGTATTGATAACCACCTGGTTTTGCAATCTGACAGAATTTTCAGTGGTGTGGAACCATTTTTAAGGCTGAATACAATGCATTGTATTGCTGTTGTCTGACATATGATTTTGAAAACCAGTTAGCCTGTTTCCCAATAAGGTATTCCAAATTCCTTGGTAAACATTCAGATGAAGCATGTGATAATGCTAGCTGCAATGAATGACACATACATTTTATAAGTATTAACGATGGGATAGCTTTTTTCAACTTGCATAAACGCCATTGTTTATGCCAACCATCACTGAGGCATTATCGGTATCAATTGCAACCAAATTTGTCAAGTCTAACTGTTTGCTGATTAAAAGGTTCTTCAGTTCTTGAACTATACTTTCTGCATCACACTTTTCCAATTGAACTAGTCCAAGATATGTAGAAACTACTTTGACTGTATTGTTGCTGTAATATATAATACACACACCAAGCACTTTCAGTACCGAAATATCATTTGATTCGTCTAATAATAAACTATATTTATTTGTAGAAATATTTCAATCAAATGGTCACAGTTTGAAATTGCACAATGGCAACTTAAAAACATTGCGACCGACCCTTCAACTTTTGATGACTCATTTATCAGTGTAGTTCTGAAAACAGATGTCAGCGGTGTAATATCTTTAAATGGAACTGCAGTTTTTATGGTGTTAGTTCTGCATGCTTCTTTAAGTCTTGTATTTTCGCTTTAATTTCACACTTGCAGTACTTACAACGAGCCTTGGTTATATCCCCAGGAACTGCCATCACCCAGTCTTTAATTTTGTCATCATGCAACCACTCTTTACGAAATTTTTGCTCATACTTTACTTTTGGTATGTTGAAGTTTTTTTCAAAATGAAAGCCACACAAGAAGGTGAGCAATTATTTTTTTTTTAAAATCACATGAAAAAGAAACACAGAGTCAGAATCACAGCTATACTTCACAACACAGTGAGAATACGGTTGAAACAAAGTTAGTATGATTTACGCGCGATTTCGATTAATCAGCACCGGGGTTGTCAGATATTTGAGTGTTGACCCCAGTGAGAGTTCAAAGTTTAAGTAATGGCAGTTGCCACAATGTACGTGCCAGACCAAAACAAAAATATTTTAGTAAATATTTTACTCAATAATTATTAAAATGACACTAAAAGAAAAAAAAATCTATAAAATATCTAACTCCATATGAAAAGAATCTAGAAAAATATTTAGTATCTAAACGTCAAAAACAGGATCTAAACGCAATGAAAAAGATCTAAATTTGGATACAAAAGATCCAAAGTGGCAACACTGGTGACATGCCAGTTGGGCTTGCAGGTCGCCCGGTTTGGCGGGGGACATAAGCGATAAATATTAACCTCGTTTTTTCTTGTTATATTGCAGTGTTTTTCAAATGGTGGCCCTATGACCCGTATACAATTAATATATAATCATGTAGTGGCTATGTAATTCCCAAACTATATTGCTGTATAGATTTTCTTACCTAAAATCAATAAAAGATGTCTTATGAACATAAATTTTAATTTTGTGACACAGGATTTAACAAATAAACTGCTAACCAAACTGGATTTTAGGTGTCAGACTGCGAAATAATCTTCTGCTTTGTCCCATTCGTGTGTCAAAACTTTGACAAACAGGCTCCTATAATATGAGAAGCACGTCGATATGTATTTACAGCATTGTGAGTTTGCTTATTAAACTGTTTCTACAGCTTCACTGGTTTCCCGTTGTTTATATCCTCTTCCCTGCCCGGCTCTCTAGCGAAGTTGGTGAAACCTGACTTTCGCGGCGGCCGGGTGACGAACTCCTTGTGGTCCGGGTTCACTCCCGGGGGTAGGCGGAAAAGCCACATTTCTCCCAGATTAACGGTACCTCTAATGGAATCAAGGCCGAAGGGTTGCGATATCCATAGTACCGAGCCAAAGGGTTGCGATATCCATAGTACCGAGCCAAAGGGTTTACAACTCATGGTTTCTGGATACGTTAAAAAAAATAGCCTTTTCCCTATATGGTATTAAAAACTAATTTGTATCCTTTCAGTCTACAAATTCTGATGGTAGAGTAACTGTCTAAAAATAGTTTCTATAGATTTTGTCTTATAGTATTTTTTTAAAGACATTTAATTAGTACATAATTACCAGAACCTGGAAAAAAAAAGACAGGCAACAGAAGATAGTTAATTTTTATTTTTAAAAAACGCGAATGGATCTCACTCAATCAATCAATCATTAGCTGCCACATCCGCAGTGACTTAAGTTGAACTGATCTGAGTCATGAATTAACAGCACTCTGTGCATTCTCATGTGTGTTCCGTCCTTATCTTCAGCAGCCAACACAAAGTTCCAATACTGATGGTACCGGTCATAATATGGTTATATGTCCGTCTTGCCTTTCCGCTGAGTGTAGTGAGCCGGCCAAACCCTCTGGTTACACCCAGGTGCCACTTTCTGATTATGCCATACTATTCTTGTTTCTCTATCAATTCTGTTGCTTGTTCCCAAAAGAGCCTTGATCACATCTGCTTTGTCGTGTATTGTTTCCCTTCATAGTGACTGTAATCACGACGTGCGAAATGAGATGCTTACGTAAGGCTGCCAATGTCACAAGGAGAGACAGAGTTCGAAACGAGAACATTAGATCAATTGTAGGAACTACACCATGCCTGCAATACATAAAGAAGCAACAAATAGAGTGGTTTGGCCACTTGATGCGAATGCAAACCGACCAACTGCCTCTACGTGCATACAACGAACAGCACTACTGCCCTAGAGCAAGAGGCAGACCGAGAGTACGATGGATAGACAATATATCAGAGATCCTGAGGCAACACGGACTAACAACAACACATGCAACACACCTGGCCCAGGATAGAAAACTGCGACTCCCCACTACGCTGTGAGGCAATTGTGGACAAGACAAGACAAGAGACTGTAAATAGAAATTTATGTCTTTAATTTTGCCGAAATCTCTCATTTTTTAAACAGAATTGGAACTTCATGGTGGAATTCATTCCTACCATTTGAGAATTAGAGAAGTGAAAAATGTATGAAAGGGAAAAGGAGAGGGGAGGGGGGCGCCAAAAGAGAATTTGTCGACAGCTACGATAACAGGCAACCGATATCACGACTGGAGCAAAAGTACTGGTTGTGTTGAAAAACTGGGAGAGAGACAACTAGCAGTTAGTACTTATCAAAAACACAGAGGACAAAAGGACGTTTGTGTTGAAGTGTAAGGTCACCTGCGACATAATATTAATACAAATGATAAGGCACAAAGGACACACCCACCCAGCCCCAACCCCTTTTTTTCCCACCCTGCCTATACCGGGAAAAAAGTAGTATACGCGGGCAGTAAATACATACATGCATGTATATACACATATATATTACATGCATGTGTGTATGTGTATATGTGTGTGTGTGAGTGTGTGTTTATACATATGTATATATGTGTGTGTGTATATATATATATATATATATATGTATATATATATATATATATATGTATATATGTATATGTATGTATATACACAAACATATTTATGCTTTTGCACAAGAATATGATTGAATTAATTATT